CAACTAACAGATACCCTCTGATATAGTATTTTGAGCAGAAATAGGTATGGTACTTGTGGCTACTAGGATGTGGTATGTGTAAATGTGCATTTAGCTGTAGACGCAGGTATGATGTATGTGGTTAAAGGTTTTGCAATACGCCTATTTGGCTATATGCACAAGTAACCTCTTTGCTCTCGTATCTGACCAGAATATGGTGTTGTATGCTTCTGCAGACTCTTTGACATATCTTGGGTTTCGATAGTATAATCATATAATATACACACAAGAACAGGTATGCAACATGCAGATACGCACCTCGAATTTGTAAGTGCATATCCCGAAGCATGAATATCCTGGGTATCAAAAACACATAACAACACATACCTAAAAACAAGAATACAAATATATCAAGCGGATACATACCTAGATTCTGAAGAGCCTTTGCAGTGTCTTTGACATATCCTGGGTATCGCACAATGGTGTGACGTGTTGTGGGACAGTTCTGCGTGAACACCCTCACTTTACCCTCAGGCACACCGTGCAGTCCACTACTGGTACTTCCGTACCTACTTTTAGCCTCCATTGCTTCTAACCATTTTAACCTGATTTAACATTAAGATGCGCGAGTATGTGACCGCGATATGAGGTGAAGTCGATATACTAGGTGTACTCTAGGGTACATTAATAGGGAGATGATAGTGTTTCTGCAACTACTTTCGCCTGTTCCACCGTTCAATATACATAAATCCAATATATATATATAATACACACACAAACACACACACACACACACACACACACATATATATATATCTATGTGTGTGTGTATAACCTACAACGTGTGCAAATAAAACAAATCCATCATGTATATCCTATAACTATTTAAAACATAGACTACAAAAACGTTTCTGCACACATTTCAAACATAGACTACAAAAACGTTTCTGCACACATTTCAAATACTAACTATATAGAACTCACGAGATAGAGAATCAGGAAGTCGTAGCTACTAAAATCACACGTGTATAGGATTATAAGCGTTTATATATATGTACATACTTGTATGTACTTACTAGCCTCCGTTCAATAGCATATGAAAATAGATATTCACTGTGTTATATCTATAATGTCGCGGATATAAATCCGCAAGTTCTGTCAATAGCAGCTTCTACCGTCCACCACCATACGAACATGGCACACAATTACATTGCAGTACCGCAACTAAAATTCAAAATAAACCGAGCCGCTATACATAAACATTCTGCTTTTTATGTGTTCTTGGTGATTCATGCGAGGGCCAAATTGCCTAAACATTGAACGAATCAGGAAGTCATTGTGAGCTCGTTCCTAGATGCTATATGCACTATGCTTTTCCCTGTACCTTTGTAGGTTGCACAATGAACTGCTTAATACAAGTGTCATAACCCAACCGTTGAGCAAAACAAAAAAAACAATGTGTGCGCTTTCCTGTGTACGTACGAAACGAAATATAGGTGCCACGAAAATAAACTACCAGTGCGGCCTCTTAGAACATTAAACCCTGAAAGCGTACAGTACGGATGCACACACACAGAGATAGGCTCAAAGACACACAGATCTTTATTACCATTTAGATATCGCAAATTCTCGTCTCCACGATCCCACATGATTGCGATAAATCAACTAAGTTTGTCCATATTGTTGAAAATGACAAGGTAAAGTTTGATCATTAATTGTATAAACATACTTGAATATCACCACACGACTAAACGTTGATATATATAGACATCGCATACACACACACACACACACACATACATACATACACACATACATACGTACGTACATACATAAATACATACATATACATATTCATATACACACACACATATATATATATATATATATATATATATTTATATATATATATATAAATATAATGTCAATATATTAAAGCTGGAGACAA